CGGGGCCAGGATGGGAGATGCTCCTCTGATTGGTGGGGGAGCCTGCTCATCAGGCCAGCCCCTGCCCTTGGCTGTCCTCTCTACCTGTCTCCCATTCTGGCCACTGACATCTCAATCTTTGGCTGAGGAGTGTGACTTGCGATCACTCCGCTTCCTTGGGTGCCTTTCCAGCAGCCTTCAGGCCTCTGAATTTCTGACAGCTGTGGGTGGGGAAGACTGCGCAGGAGTGCTCCCCACCCCACCGTGGCACAGCTTGAGTAGAAGAGGTCTGGGCTGTTAGGAAACTAGAGCTGAGGTACCTACTCTGCCACCTGTTCTTGTGAGACCAGAGTCAGTTGCTCCCCTCCCCCGACACGAGGACTCAATTTTTTCCATCTGCAAAATGGTCACAGGGGTTGGTCAAGATGACTCCCAGATCCCTTCTTGCATTTATTCCTGAGCACGGATGARGGGACTCTTATGGACTCCCGAAAGCTCCTGCTCCTCTAGCAGAGGAACTTCTTTCTTTCACTTAGAAAATATTTTGGGTCCATTGCCATTCCTGTAGAAATGGGAGCTGCCACCCAGTGCTGTGGGGGTTGGATTRGAGGAGAGGCACAGCAGAACTGGTCAGGGCAAACCTTCTTCCTCCACATTGTCAGCATGACCGGTTCTGCCAGCTTCCCTTGCTGTTTAACATGGGCTCTCCCGGGGAGTCATGATAGCTGTGATGGATGCATTCTTGTGGGGGACGGAGGTCTCCCAGAGGTAAGCCCTAGGTGTTTGCTCCCCACTAACAATGCCTCATGTGAAGAGACTCAGCCAGGATGCCTAGTCCAAAGCCAGGCAGGCAGTGAGCAGAGGGAAGGGGAGCCTCCTGTCTGCTGCTGCCTAGTATTCTGGAAAGTTCTGGACAGTAGGCAGAATCCTGTGGCATGCGGCAGCATCCATCTCAGCTGCTGGATGGTTTTGAATGATGGCACTGAAGGACTCTTGGTTTATTCAGGGCTTATCCCACACGCTGGCTGTTCTTTGGGGGGCATCTGTCAGAGGTGGCCCTTCTCCTATGCCCATMTATCTACTTGTGGGGCTCAGTTCAGCGTCATCAACCTGTGTGTGGCTCGACCCTAGGGGAGGCTGTAGAGGCACTCCAGGGCCTAGTCCGGCTGGGTGTGGCCTGTGGTTGCTCATGCACAATCTCAGGGCCTCTTCTACTCTCCCCACCCCCACCCCCATCCCYGTCCTCAGTGTCCACACCCAGAAGAGGCTGGCCTAGTCCCCAGGCCACCTCATTYCCTGCCCACTAAACAGGACGGATGGCATTGAGTGTATCCCTTATTTTTAGGAAAAACTGCTAATTCCCTCTTCAAAGATGGTGTCTTGCACTCAAGGCCAACGGTAATCACAGAACAGTGTGACCCCCGCATCTAGGTTATTTTCTTACCTGTGGTCACCTTGGGACATATAACTGGCTGTAGGAGTTTGAAGGGCTGCAGGCCCTACTCTCACCCTAAGAGACGACGGACCCCGGCAGTGCCTCCCTCACAGTGCTCAGCTGCCTCAGGGTTTCTCCAGCCTCATCTGGAAGCAAGTGCTCTTGGATCCTTGGATGAAGCACAGGCTTATTCTCTTAGTGCCACGTCTTATGACAAGGCAGGCTTCCTAGTGTGGAATATGGGTCATCACTACCGCAAGGGGTGGCTGCCTGTAAAGAGCTGGACTCTCATGGCTGGAGTGGCCACCCCTTGAAGACAGAGGCCTTCACTCCAAGTCGCAGTCCCAGAGMGGTGTTTGGAGTCGGGAGGTGCTTCCTGAATCAGCCCTGAGKGAAGGAGCGGCTCAGGGCCAAGGGCTAGACGGAGGCTGGAGGGACTGAGGCGGAAATGCCACTGCCCACTGTGGGGCCATCAAAGAAGAGGAGGAGGGAGGCRTTTGGAGAGTCTTTGAAGGTGGTGGTGTCAGACGGTACAGCTGGAGGAAGGGGACTGTGCAGAAGGCCCCTCAGAAGCAACAGCGAGAAGTTGGGACTGTCCAAGTCACTTGGGGAGGAGGCGGCCCTGGCAGGCTGGCACCTTTGCCGGTCGTCCTCCCCGAGGGGTTCAGGTTTCCCAGGGACAGGCCAGAGCCCTGACTGGGTTCTTGCTGAGTGAAGCCAGGGTGGCTGGAGGTGTAGGTGTGTGTGTGTGTGTGTGTGTGTGTGTGAACACGAGCACGCATGAGTGGAGGGGGAAACCGGGGGCACGTTGGCATTCAGCGTCCGGACGTGACAAATGTGCAGACGTGTCCGGGGAGCTTTGGACACGAGCAGCTGGCCGCGGAGAAGCTCACCCTGTGATTTGTTGCTTTGATTCCTCAGGCCGTGACTTGGCAAGCACGACCCTCCCCGGGTACCCTCCRCACGTCCCCCCCGCCGGACAGGGCAGCTACTCGGCGCCGACGCTGACAGGGATGGTGCCTGGTGAGTTTGCACTGTCCACATCTCCACAGCAGGACGCGGACGGGGTTTCGAGGGGGGGGCATCCCCCCAAACAGCCCGGGTGACCTCGGCGCTTCTGAGAAGCAGACCTGAATAAATCAGGCACAGGTCTGGCTCAGCCTCTTCCCTGMGGCTGGGTCTGGGACAGAGGCAGCGGCAGCACGGGGAGGCCATCAGAGAGAGGCAGTCCTCGACTGTCACTCAGCCAGCCCCTTGTTGGCTACGTGGGGAGTCTGAACACAGAGGGGTGCGGGGCCAGCAGTGGGGGGCTTCTCCCCAGCCTCCTCTCCCTYCTCCCTCTCTCTCCCACCCAATTCATGTGGCAGAAACCCCTGAGCTGCTCTTGGCCATCTTATTCCTTGGGTGGAGGATGGTGTATTCAAGATTGGCAGGTTGGCTGCTGGGTTTGGGTCACCAGATTATAAACTAAACCCCACTGAAACCTAATCTCCTCTGGCCAGCGAAGTGTTGGTTTCAAGAAATTTGTAAAGGAGACCACTACATCACACCCCCTCGCATCGTGGAGCTGGGGCACACATAGGTGTGGGGTGGCCGGGTGTTCAGGGCATTAGCATAGCAGGGATACCCAAGTACCCTTTTATGAAAGATGTCAAAAATTGGGGAGAAATCAGGTCTCCGTTAGATGTCACTGTACGTCCTTTATGGGGCAGCATTTTCTCATTTGGCCTTTCGCAGGGGTCACACCTCTTTTCAGTGCCTGGACCTAATAYACCACTGACTCTCTGGGAAACTAGAAAAGCCAGAGGACTTATCCCCACCCCCCCACACCACTTTCTCTTTGGAGTTTCACAATAGCCCTGAGAAGCTGGCAGGGCGCTCTTCCTCCTGCTTTATTAGTGGTTATTTATTAGTGATTRTTAATTGTTTGCTAATAATTAATAATAATTATTATTATTATTTTAAAAACTTGAGTCCAGAAAGGGGCTGGGAGTGCCTGGGTCACCCAGAAACGAGGAAGCAGGGCCACCACTAGAAGCTGGGTAGACCCACCCTAGACCCAGGCAAAAAGGAYGCCTGCTCTGAGAACTGCTGCAGCCCTGCCAGGACAGAGCCCCCACCRCATCCCACAGACCAGGGGAGTCTGCAGGACCAGGGGAGGCGTCTGCACCCCACCTTCCAGCACACACTAGAGACTGCCTCAAGTAGGACCGAGTGTCTTCATGCCTCTTCCCCAGGGCTGTCCCCTAAAGATCGCCCATGTCACCCATGTGTGAGCCCCTAGGCTTGAGGACTGGCTCATAATGGGAATGTGGACAGGGCTTGGATGTRAGGACCAGTATCCCACAGGTGTGTAGGAAGCCCTGTGTGGTGATGGGGTGGGGCCAGCAGCAGGTGAGATCACKGCAGGGTGGGCTTCCCCCAGGCGGCACATCCTGGCACAGAACACCAAGTCGTTCCAGGAATCTAAATTCCACCCTGGACTTCCAGGTTGTGCAGAAGATGTATTTAACAAGGTAGGAGGATGGAGCATATTTCATTTAACGGTTTGTTAGCTTGATTTATGACTTTTAAATATGAGACATATGGGAAATGGCCTCCGTGTGTGCTCTTGCCCTGGGCCTTGCCAATGCCAGGAAGATCTGCCAGGTTCCACCTGCAAAACCTTCGCCTTTTCTGCTACAAGGATGGGCCCGTGGCAGATCCCAGGGAAATGTTGCAATCAGAGGTGGTGGGGCCCACGACATCCTTTCCCATCCAGCTTCCCGTGGCCCAATCTTCAGCAAGTAGGACAGTTCCCAAGAAATACCCGGGAATGGCCCTTCATATTCATGCAGCATTTTATAGAACGGGAAGTCCTTTCTCTAGAATCCTTTGACGTAACAACCCTGCGAGGTGGGCAGACTCAAGGGTGTGAGACCCAGAGAAGTCAGGGAGCTGCCCACGGCCACACAGCTTGCAGGTGAGAAATTGATCCCCTGCAGCCTCCCCCTCTCGTGTGCCCAGTGCTGCCTCTGTGCTCTCTATCAACTCTGATTCTCAGTGACAGCAGAAGGGGAGGCAGCAGCAGCACCATGCCCCATCTTAAGGGCATGTTAGTAGGTGAAACCGAGGCCACCCAGCTGGGCCTCCCAGCTCCAGCTGCAGACCCCTAAGAGGCCTAGTTCAGAGAAGCGTCTGAACTTTCTCGAGTTTATCCAAACAGAGCCTGCCCTCTCGCCCTTGATTCCTCCAGCCCTAATTACCAGGTTCCACACAAATGGCTGTGGGCCTGGCAGAGCCCCTGCAGGAATGGGTGAAGGCTCCTCATCCATTCGTGGTGGCAGCCAGACTCACAGGACCCAGCAAGGGCACAGCCCGACCTACTCTGCTGGCAGGAGCAGGATGGGGTGACCACAGGGCCCCCTGGCGCTCTGTCCTCTGGCACAGAGGGAGGCTGTACAGTATGGAGGGAGGAAAATAAGAATTTTGGCCAGGGAGTTGCTGCCCCAGTATCTCGACTCCTCCCTCTTCTGTATTTCTATTCCCTTCCCTTCTCCTCTTCCTCTCCCTGCCTGGCTTCCTTGCTTTCTCTTTGGCACCTCCCAGTACTTGGTGCCAGTTCAGCACCAGGGCTGGGACGCTGAGCTCAGTGGGCACAACCCTTAGCTCCTGTTCCTCAGTCATGTATTTGGGTCTCTGGTTTCCACGGTAGTTTCCACACYTGTTTTTGGGGCAGCCTGAGCATATTGTCTTTGTGAGCACTGTCCCCAGCTCAGAGAAGGCCCCTCTTTTGGCAGAGCCAAGGTTCTGCCCTTTGAGCATAGCAGGATATGGCCCCAGCTGGCTTTCCTGGCCTCTTCTCTCAGCTCTCCACCCCGACCATTTGCTGATTCCCAGCAGGCCTTGGACTCTTWCTGGTCACTGGCTTTCCTCATTTTGTGCCTTGGATTGGATTACTTCCTGCTCGACCTGTCAGGATCCAGCTTCATCCTTCAGAGCCAAGTGCAAACATCACTGGCTTCAGGAAATTTCCTGGTGTGGCCTCCACTGGGGGCTAAAGTTTATTCCCCATCAGCTCTGCCCATGTCCACCGCTCTCATAGGGACCTTCTTACCTTCTGCACCCTTCACAGTCCATAGCTCCTTCTAGGTCCTTTCCTGAGTGCAGGCTAAGGAGGAGATGCAGGGAAAATTACATGGGCCTGTGTATCAGTTTCCTGTGGCAGCTGTAACAAATCTCCACAAATGTGGTGCTCACRACTTAGAAACTTATTCTCTGACAGTTATAGAGCCCAGAATTTTGCAATTGGTAAGACTTGTCCCCAAATCAAGGTGTTGGCAGGGCTGYGGGGACATTCTAGGAAAAGACCTAGGTCTTTCTTCTGTGGCTGTCCATGCCTCCTGGCAGCCCTTGTCTGGTACTTGACTCCAAGTCTAGGGTCTTGACCTCTCCTTACTCCATAATTTTTTTTTTTTAAGCACCAGGGATTGAATTCAGGGGCACTTAACCACTGAGCCACATCCCCAGCCCTTTTTTGTATTTTATTTAGGGACAGAGTCTCACTGAGTTTAGCTTAGCTTTGCTAAGTTTCTGAGCCTGGTTTTGAACTCGTGATCCTCCTGCCTCAGCCTCCTGAGCCGCTGGGATTACAGGCATTACAGRGTGGCCCCCCCTGCCCCATCTTTACATCACCTTCTTTGTGTGCCAGTCTCCCCCATCTCCTCTCTTATAAGGGTATTTGTGCATTTAGGACCCCCTTGAATAATCTAGGATAATCTCCCCATCACAAGATCCTAACTTAATCACATTTGCAAAGACCCTCATCCCCCTTTGTGCCCCATCATATAAGATGACATTCACATATTAGGTTCCGGGGATTAGGAATTTCAACTTTGTATTTGTTCAGATTTCTGATTCTTTACCTCTCTGGCTTCTGAGCTCAGGAGGCACTCACTTCATAGTGACTGTGCTGAAGGTGATGATCCCATTTTGCAGACCCAGCAGGACTGTTGGCACTTTGGAGAAAGCTTTTGAGCTTTCTGGGGAGCTGTTTCTYCGGCTTCCCTTTCTCTGAGATTGCTCAACCGCAGTGGTCAGTTTCAGGTATGGAATGACCTTCCCTCCTCACCTCCAGCAGGCTCGGCAGTGCAATCTACAGAGAAACTGGAAAWCTTCCGGGTTGGCTTTCCCATGTAGGCTCTGAAAAACATCAACTGACACTGCTTCCCTTTATAAACAAAGGCAGCCAGGCGCAGTGGCTCATGCCTCTAATCCCAGCAGCTCAGGAGGCTGAGGCGGGAGGATCACGAGTTCAAAGCCAGCCTCAGCAAAAAAAGTGAGGTGCTAAGCAACTCAGTGAGACCCTGTCTCTAAATTAAACAATATAAAAAAGGCTGGGGTTGTGGCTCTGTGGTTGAATGCCCCTGAGTTCAATTCCTAGTACCCACCCACCCCCCAAAAAAGGATTATAAATTAAGGCTTCCATTTATCCTGTTTGCTTTTAGGACACACAAAGGAGGGGCTGTCTCCAGGGTGCATTTGGGCAGTTGAACTTTGGGGACCTGAAAAAATAGACACAACATTGTTCTGTATTTAATGTTGGCTTGTTGGCTTGGGTTCATGCTTTCTTTGAATTGGATTTGGTCATCAGGGTGTTGTCTGTCCTGTGGCTCCAGGGCATCCCCACGTCTGCAAAACATGGCTTCTAATTGTTCCTTAATGTTTGTAGATTCTGTTTCTGCAGCTCTGCAAACTCTGTAGATAGCCCTTTGCTGATCAGGTATGTTGAAGAAAGCATATCCGATATGTTGTATCAGCTTAGAATGGAGACAGTTTTCAGATTTTATTTTCATCAAGTCTCAGCAAATGCCAAAAGTTTTGCACCAAAGATTCCATAGTGTCTTGATGGGTGTAACTGCTTGATTCCTGCCTGAAGGTATTTGTGTAACACAACAGATATTGACATGGCATTTGAAACTCTTAAAAATTCTGAGCTGGAGAGGAAATAGAAAGGGAGTTCACTGCCTTTGGCTTCAGTGAGT